CCATACTCACCAGACCTGTCGCCCACCGATTACCACTTTTTCAAGCATCTGGACAACTATCTTAGAGAGAAAGGCTTCAAAAACCAAGACGATGTCAAAAACGCCTTCAACGATTTTGTGGCCTCTAAAAAGAATTACAACCAATCTTGAAGTATCATTTAGAAAGAGCATTAGATAAGCTTTCGAATGATATATAACACTTACATTTTATTGGAATAAAATAAGTATTAAATACAAAAAAACGAAATCCTGCATTTCTTTTGCAACGACCTAATATACGTGTGAAAATAACAATGAGGAATGAGACCTTGAGGCACGCCAATGTTGAGTAAAATTCACTGTGTGTAAGTCAGGGATAGGCGGTTGCAGTCAAGGATGTGTGGTTGTTAAAGGTCTGTAAAGGGATCTGTGAGGTTTGCGAGCAGGGCACAGCATCGTGATGTGTGAAATGATGGTGCCAGTACGAACCCCCCCACCCCTCTCGAGGGAGGGTCTTGGTACGAGCCCCCCCCCTTCCCCAGCACCTACCCACATTTTCACCTTTTTCACCCAGAGGTCCCCCGCCGTAGAGCGGGGAGTATATCGCCAATGTGAAAAGGGGAAAATTTCTTAGTTTCCCCAATTTCCTACCACTTTTCTTGGCATTTCCCAAAAATTTCCCTACTTTCTCCCCAAAATTTTGCTGACCAAATACGACCCCCCCCCTTCCCAGCCGAAAAGTACGACCCTCCCATGTGTTTCGCACAACGATGCTGTACACTGTTTGTGACAGAACAAGGAATTTGACGTTCATATCTCTAAACAAGGCGGTGGTGGTGTGGTAACAAGTAGCGCGCTTACCACTCGCGCGTTCCTGCCGCCCAGGCCAACCTAGCCTTCTACCCTCCGCGGACGGTGAATGGTAGTAGTCGTCTGGGAGGATAAGAACACCATGTTCATCTGGAAGCCCCACCATTCACTGTATAGGCAACATCGCATTCAATAAGCCATTACGATTCTGAATCCTCCTATGGAAGCAGAATGCGTGCCGCATCCCACGAAGGGATTGATCAAAGGGAAAAACTTCATCTATCCTTTATCTCTGAACTCGCTCCACTTCCCGTGCGGGCTGCTTTTTATTATTTCGAAGAATGAGAGTGAGATAGGTGGCGTCAGACATGTAGAGAAGTTTTATCCTAGACTACGGTACTGTAGGAAGTGCCGTATTGAGCTGCCAATTTACCCCAACGTCATGACTTCCCCTGTTCTACATGGAAAACGAATTCGTCAAGGACATCACAGGTACTAATGCCCTCAGAAATTATAGTTTCCTGAGCAGAGACCATGAAAAGTACAAGGGTTCCAAATGAGGGAAACTCCCACGTAATGAAGGCTGATTCAGGATGGCAAGTGTTGAGTAGATGGTAAAAATTGCCTGGGGAACAAAATCTAAAGAGAACGGGGCTGAAAAACTAGTGGGTTGAAGACTAGGAGAGGGGTGAAAGCATAAACGCAGAAGGGTTCGAAGACCAGCGACAAGTGCTCTCAGAAGTGTGGTGGTGGGCGAGGAAAGAGGTGGGGAAGAAGGGAGAGCGAATACTGTAGCTGCGAAGCACAGCGAACAAGAATGTCAGAAAGAGAATGTATACGATCGAATGCGCTATTTTGTAAGTAAGCTCTTGATGGAGCTGCCGAGTTGACGAAGTTTTCGAGATCAATGTTAGGGCGCCAGCAGTAAACTTTTTTGCGTGAAATAAAGTATTAACGATTCGACGGACATTTTTCAGGACTTTAATTAGAAGCCGCAGTATTCGACATCAAGTCCAAAACTTCGGCATGCAATAATTTTGAAATTAAGTGGTTCCATGTTAAGCATGCATGCGACGGTAAGTCTGTATCAATCCCTTATGTTAACAAATCTAACAAAGAATCACAATGGTCACTAAGGTTGGGAAGGATAAGAAGAATGAGAAGGAGCTAGACATATCGATGCCGCCTTAGAAAAAGGTGGAAACCAGCATTGCTACATAAACTTTCCTGGAGAGTTACATGCAGTGAAAGCTTGCTGGAAAAAACGCGAGGGTGAAGAAAGATCGAGGACGGAGTCTTCGGCACTGGTCAATTTCTTTTTGGGATGCAGCCCGCATCCTACTTCCATTCTGAATCGTAGTGTCTTCTTCTTGTGGCCTATACAGAAAGTTGCGGGGGCCAGCCAAAGTACAAGTCATCGTTCCTATCCTCCCGAGCGGTTCTGGTACCAATTCACCAAGGATAGAAAGTTTGTCTAGCCTGGACGGGAGCCAGTCCGCGATTCGACAGCGGGACTGGGCGCTTAGCTTGTCATTTTTCACTACATTACCTACGCCTCAATGAAAAGGCTATGAGCGGACTTAACCTTCAAATGGAAAATTTCCTTGGAAAAGGATCAGGGAAAGCAAGTAAGCGAGTGAGCAAGGGAGAGGCTTACATCAGTGGTTAAAGACAAATTCCACGATTGGATGCGATCTTGGGCCCAGATACGAATTTCTGATGCCATTGCGACGTAACAGTGAAGCAAGTCGTGGGCAGAACCATCAGGGCCCTTTCAAATATAGGCTCCGTCTTGGACCAGTACTCCAAAAAGCGAGACACTGTTGAATGAGCAAGAAACCACAGACAGAATGAGGGAACCAGAGGACGAGTTGGAAGACGAGAGGGGTAACAGGTCGATCTCCTGCAACTTCCACTCGTTCTACCCACGACGACCACAGTGCCTCTGCCACTTACTGCCTAGCC